AGCTAGTTTGCTTATGGAGGAAGTCCATGAAGGCACATTTGGTACGCACACCGGCGGACATGTCATGGCGAGGAAAATCTTACGAGTAGGATATTACTGGCTGACGATAGAGTCGGATTGTTTCAAATTCGCGAAGAGATGTCATAAATGCCAGATTTATGCTGATAAAATTCATGTGCCGCCGTGCCCGTTGAATGTCATGTCATCCCTGTGGCCGTTCTCCATGTGGGGCATTGATATGATAGGCAAGATCGAGCCCACTGCATCTAACGGTCACCGTTTCATTTTGGTAGCCATCGACTACTTCACCAAGTGGGTGGAAGCAGCCTCGTACGCTAACGTGACCAAGCAGGTGGTGGCTAGATTCATAAAGAAGGACATCATCTGTCGATATGGAATTTCCGAGCGGATCATTACTGATAATGGTTCGAATCTGAATAACAAGATGATGAAGGAGTTATGCCAGAACTTCAAGATTGAACATCACAACTCATCACCTTACTGGCCGAAGATGAATGGTGCGGTTGAAGCGGCCAAAAGGAACATAAAAAAGATAGTACAAAAGATGGTTGTGACCTACAAAGATTGGCATGAGATATTGCCATTTGCATTGCACGGTTATTGTATAACGGTACGCACATCAACCGGGGAAACTCCTTTCTCACTAGTGTACAGTATGGAGGTCGTCCTACCGTTGGAAGTTGAGATTCCTTCTTTACGAGTTTTGGTTGACGTGAAACTCGATGAGGCAGAATGGATTAAGAACCGATTGAATCAACTCAGTCTGATGGATGAGAAGAGATTAGCATTGATTATATATAGTCGTCTGTACCAGAGCTGAATGAAGAAAGCTTATGATAAGAAGGTGCGTCCTAGAAGCTTTCAGACGGGTGATCTCGTCCTGAAGAAGATTCTTCCACCACACTCCGATCACAGGGGCAAGTGGACTCCTAACTACGAAGGTCTGTATGTCGTCAGCAAGGTCTTCTCGGGAGAAGCCTTGTTGTTATCCACGATGAATGGCGAAGATTTTGCATCCCCTGTGAACGCGGACGCAGTTAAAAAATACTTTGCTTAAAAATGACCCGCTGGAAAGAAAAAGAATATCCAGGCAAAATGGGGCATCCCGACGAACCATAAAAAAGGAAAAAGGTTCGGGAAAAAATTAGGGATATAAATGAAAAAAATGTAGACCCGCAAAGCTGAAAACCTAAAAGGGCGGCTTTGGCAAAAAAGGGTATCCCGGTGAATCGAAAACCCGAAAGGGCGATTCAGGCAAAAGTTAGGGATTAAGAAAAGCAAATGACTGCGTTCCACGTGTGAACTTTCATTGTTTAAGTGGTTTGGGAAGATCTGAGGGCCGTTCGTCTAAATCAATCTCTTCTGAAGATGAAGCGTCGAAGAAGTATCGAAGTTAAGTGGGTCATAGAGGGATCAACTCATGGTGTTCATCTACACCGCATTGCCGACATTTGTGTATACTGATGTATATTTATGTTTATACTTGCGCAGCTTCCTCATTTCAGGGGCTTGCATCTGTTGTAAAACATTTTTCCTATTCAGGGGCTCGTCATCAATAAACATATACTATTCAGTATTTTCGTTTGTTTGTTTGGCTTTATCTGTTTTGTTTGTGAAAAAGAACGCCCGATGTTTTTGATACAATGCGCATACATAAACTTGCTGGCCTAGGTCGATAATTGTTGAAACATTGAATTACCTAAACATTGTCACAGGATGATAACCTTGATAGGTCCCTTTGTGAAGGGTATCTTGTCTATTTGCTCATTTTATTGCAGGGACATTACCCTCCAAGCAGTATGCCAGATGTTTTCCAAGCAGGATGATTCCTTCTTCCCCAGCAGTTCAACAGTGTTTCCCTATGAAGTCTGAACATGGGACTATGAGCATTGATATGTCTTCCCAAGCGGCGATAGATTCTCCTCAACCAGATGTATCCCAGTTAGGGTCATCATTTCCCCAGCTGAGTCATACGTAAAAGTGTATATTCGTTCCCAGCACTGGGTCAATATGTAGTGTTCTCGTAGAAGACTATTCGCAAGTGTTCGATTTCCGATAGTTCAGAATGAAGTCTCCAGTGGAATTGAAATTCCCCACAGAGTTGTATTCTCCCCGGCAGGTAGGAGTAATTCCACCGTCTGGTTGCGTATCCCCAGCCGAGTTTTCAGTCCCCAAGAGAGTCGAGTCCTTAGAAGCCGTTCAAGCCATTATTGGTTTTCCCCAGCGGAGAGTGTTGAGTAACGGTTCCTACAATTCCCCATCGGAGTCCGTAGCTCCAGGAATATTCTATCTGTGAAGGTCGTGCAGTTCATTTATGCGATTGACATCGTTTCCTCAGCAGTTCGTGGTTCGTATACCCAGTTGAGCAAGTACAGGTTCTCGTAGAACTTTGTTCCCCTGCAGAAAGTCGTCTGAGGTTCGTTTCCCCAGGTTGAGTCCAATTGAGATTAGCGTGACTTCTTCTCCCCAGCAGGATGATTCCTTCTCTCCACCAGAGTGGTTCCTTCTCCTTGACAGGAGGATTTTCCCATCAGCAACAGTAACAGTGCCGTTTTCTTTTCCATTAATATTATTTCATGCATTGATTGCCTCATGAATGGCATTAATTACCTCATTTTCAATGCCATGATCCATAGATTTGGGAATCCCATTATTTCTATTAAGATTAATTCCACGCTTTCCAGTGTTCATAATGGTATTTTCTTTAGTATTATGACTATTTAATGTCAGAAATATCGACCCCTATATCCTACCAATATCATTAACTCTCGCCGGATTCACATTTTTCCGGCCATCCATCAGTTTCTTTCCTCTTCGTTGCTTCTGCACCACCTTCCAAGGACCAGCATCTACACCATGCGTAATATTTTCCACTGGTTTGGACGTTCCTTCACCTGTTCCTTTGTTCATTCCTTCATGGTCAACATGGACAATCTCTTTTCCTCTACTACTACACCCTTCTTTGTAATGGCCATATCTCCCGCATTTTAAACAAAGAAGGTGAAACCTTTCATATTCAATACAATAATTTCTCTCTTTTATGCTAAATAGAGTGAGAAGAGACTTTGAAAGGTTAACTTGAACACATATCCTCACATATTTCCCCCTCTATAGTCATAATACTCTATCGGTAATCCCGCAATTCTAATCCAAACCGATATTTCATCAATGATATCCTTCTCTGGTTGAAAATTAGGATACCACTCCTTGACCGTCAGGTAATGATCATAAATAAACCAAGGCCCATTTTCCATTGCTTCCCTTTTATCATTCTCATGAGAGAAAACAACTAAGTAATAATCATTGCTTAGATAAATGATTCTTATAACACCGTATTTCACCCACATCTGATTTGGCCTAGTCTCCAATGCCTTGTAGCCAATCTTCTGCCCCAAGAGTTTGACAATCACTCCCATCCTCCAAGGATGGTGAACCCTTTCTCCTTGAAATTAGACAGGACAAAAGTTGGACAATCGTATTCTCCGACTTTAGCTTCAACAATTTCAATGCCTCCGCTCTTTCGAGATAGATCTCCTTCAGGGGTTACATCCTCCTCCTCCATGTTTTCATCCGGTTCATTAGAAATACCAGTGACCATATCTCTATATGATATGCTTTTGCTAGAGGTGCCATTCCCAGCCTCCGTAACTCCTTCACTCCCTCATTCCTTGATCTTTCTTGTGCTCTTGTCCTGCAGATCCATTTCAACAACACTCTTCGTTACTCCCTCTGGAGGGATAAATCCTAGCAGAGAGTTCGTCATAGTATTATCATTACTTTCTTTGCTTCCACTCATTGTCAAGGGAACTTACTTTAAACTGTAAGAATTTCTTCCTAACTTAATTTGAGATTTTAGGTCAAATTTAATCATTAACTCTTATGGAGTAAGATATTTTGGATTGATTGAATGCGATGAAATAAAATTAAATAAAATAATATTTAATTTTATTTCATTGTTTAAATTTGCAAATAATAGATGGAGAGAAATAAAATAGATTGAAATTCATCTATCATATTCCATTAAATTCTTCAATTTTCATTCCATTTAATTTAGAGTATATGCGATGATGAAATAAACTAATTTATTCAACTTGTTCGGATAAATTATTTAAAAATACACAAATAATATAATGATATCTTTGTACCATTCGATTTCGCTTTACTTTATCCTAACTTATATCTATTAGAGCATCTCTAGCGGTAGATTTTTCTACCTAGTTCGCCAGCATGTAATCCACTTTTTTTACAAATTGCTGGAGTTGAAAAATAGTTCTCCAGGTGGCAACACTGTTACATTGTGAAGCAATAAACAGGTGCCAGAAGCAACCTATGGTAATGTTAAAATATATTAAATATAATAAAAATAATATATTAAAATAATAATAAATATAAATAATCGATTGTTTAGAGTTTAAATAAAATTTAATAGAAATAAAATATTAATATATGTTTTAAAATTGAGATCCAAAATACTGTTACATGAATTAAAATTAGATAAGTTACTCGATGACAAGTCCTTAAAAAAAACCAAAAATGATGCTGTTGGTTCTTTTCCTATTCGAAAAGATTAGTAACAGTTAGTGAGTATATTTTAAACAAAAAAGAGCATATGTTTACAAAATATATTTCTTTCACGGCGCGCTATTTCAACACCAATAATGAATTTGGGCTTTTCTTCTTCTCACCAATCCGTAAGCTTTCCCTTAATTTGAATAACGTTTTACTCAATTTTAACCAGAACGAGCCAAAACCCTAATTACCACATTGATTTAATCTCGTTACCTTTTCTTCTTCAATGGTTTTAAACTTTTAGCAATCAAAGTTTCATTTTTTTCCTCAGATTTTTATGAGTATCAACTAATTAGTTCACTTTTGTCAAAAAAAAATGATTAATTCACTCTGTTTTTGAAACGTTAGTGCTTAATTTCTGTTATTTAATTCATATGCAGGTGTTGTGCAGGTTTTGCTTGTGATTGGAAATGATGCCTCGACCCTTGTTGCTTGTTTTTCTACTGCTCATGCTTGTAATCACTTCTCAGTTTGAGTGGAAACAACAACTTGTGGTTGATGTTGATTCAACTTCAAGCTTATCTATAAAGCAGCAACGGATTTCAAAGGGGGTTGAAACAGTAAAGGAAAAGGTTTTGATTTTTTTTCTTTCTAATTTTCTATTGTTTCCTTTTATTTAATAATTTCTCCTTGTATGTTTGATTAGTTGTTTTAGACAAGGTTTTAAATATTAGCCGAGGTCACGGAAATGCTTTCACGATTTAGGCACGACAGGTGTTGCGACACCGATTGTGGTTGTCGCAATATGAATTAACTATAATTTTTTCTTTATTATAAAAATGATGAATTACGGTATCAACACTTTTAGACTTGAGTTTTTCAACTTGCAGAATCCTTGATGTTGCATTTTTGTATTTTGTTTTAATTGTAATTGTGTGAAGAAATTTTTTGGAGATGACAGCAAACGCGACCGTTGAGTTTCTGCTCCTATTCTTGGTAGGGTTACTCGTTTGCATCGATGTGTATGTGTTTGTTGTATACTAGATTGTATGAGCTATGCAGTGTTATACAAACCAAACGGACGTGGAACCGGCGAAACCTTTATGTCATTGTTTAAATGATTTATATAGTTTGATCTGCGTTGAAATTTCGGTTGAACCGCTCAAGTAACTGATTTAAACAGTTCTGGTTCATGGTGGAACCGTTTGATTTGGTTTTGCAAACATTTTTCAAACATTGCTGGTATGTTTGCATGCACTTAGTCGAACTTTCCTTTCGAAACTGTGGTTCTCTTTTCATTCATGGATGAAGTGAGGATTTGCCATTCACTTTGAAATTGGGTTTAGATTAACAACTTCAGTTTAATATGGATAATTCTTATGCTAATTTCCACCTCACTAAAACACTGAAAACCTTAATTCTCAAAAGAAATGTTGGTGAAGCAACCTTGTTTTGGTTTTTTCTGGTTTGTTCTTTCCTTATGCAGTAGGAAGAGATTTGAAATTTGTTATAAATGTCTCCGCATATTTGATGAATTATTAATCTTGTGGATTTTGCTTCACATGAATATTCACAGATTTTAAATTGAAAACTGTGACATTGGTCTCACTTCGAGTGTTTGAATATAAACCATTTTTAGGATCAGCCACAAAACAAATTATCTGTGCGTTTTCTGAGTTTTTTTTAATTGATGTTACTTCTGCAGATTATTTTAGTGCAAGAGAGAAATATTCGAAGATTGAATGAGGTTGTAAGGCATCTCCAGGAACAATTGCAGCAATGTAGAAGCACTAATAATGGTACAACAAACAGCACGGTTGTAAGCGTATACTAAAGACTGACCAATGGTAATATCACTATCCTTCTGTTGGTAGTGGGACACGGCTTGATTGTTGTTGTAATCTTGATGTTAATGTTGTAAATTCGTTTTCTTGAGTACTTTGAAAGGAAATGTTATAAAAAATCTGCCTCACACTGTATATTGTAGGAAATATTATTATTTCCATTTTAATACAAGTCCAACCTCAATGAAAAAGAAATTGCAATGTGTTCGAAAGTTCAGTTATAACCTACTGATAGTAACATCAGTACTCTTTGAACAATAACTCGCATTTTTACTAATTATTTTACTGACTTGAACAGTAGAGTGTTAAGGTCCATTTTTCGGAGATTTGCTCTGGGGCATCAAAACTCTACTCCAATCATTTCACTAAATGATTTTCTAGCAGAACAGGTGTCATAGTGTCAAATTAATATCTAAAAATGCACGCTTTTGCAGCTTAGCTTGTTTACGCATCCATCTGTCTAGTATGGAGAAATGAAGTTGATAGTCTAACAATTATATATATATATATATATATATATATATATATATATATATATATTAAACGTTGAAATTATCATTTCTATAAAAGAGAGGTTAATGAGTGAACAAGTTTGAACTAAAAAAGCAATGAAAAAAGTATACAAGAAATTGATAGATATGTTTTGGATTAGTATAAATGGTTGGTGGTTAACCTGTCAAGCATTTATTTAGATTGAAGCATTTCGTTAACCGACAGCAATTTTTTTGTTTAATTTCAGTTATCATGGTGTTTTGAAAAAAAAAAGAAAGTTGCATTAATTTTGCAAAGTAGGAAGGACGAACACATTATGACATTGATAGAGTGCTAGATTTAAAATAAATAAATTGCAAAGGGAGAAAATAATTTAGGAAAAATTGTCTTTGAAGATGTCTTTGCATTAACTCTGCAAAGTAGGAAGGACGAATACATTATGACATTGATAGAGTACAAAGCCTCAAATGAGTCACAGTTAACAATTGGTTAAAGCCTCAAATGAGTCACAGTTAACAATTGATTAAATGTGGTCTCATAAAATATTTAAAATGATTAAACAGTAGTTAAATAATGTTTATTTATTTTTGTCGTGATTAAACTTCAATTAATTTGTATAGGATCTTCGAACAAATTGAGACGCTCTAATTCTCTTTTCATAAGCGAGAGGAAAATTTTTTGGAGGAATCATTTAAAACTATAAAAATAATCAGTTTTCGAAGGGTTCTTTGGATAGTGTAAATTTTGAATTTTTGTTTGGTGTCACGATATGTTGTGAATCAAATCCTTGAGGAATTTGATGCTGTTGGACTGAAATCTCATGTACCCAATGTTGTCTAATTAGATGTTGAACATGATGTTGTTAAATTAGTTGTTAATTAAATAAAAAAATTATACTCTATATCTCAATATTTATGTCCCTACTTCTATAATTTTTACAATTTGAACAAAAATATATCTATATAATTAGTTTATGCTTGATTTTTTTTCTTCATTCTATTTTGAAGTATAAAAGTATAGAAAATTTGAGAAATTTTTGTATGCCGAAAGTCTTACTAGCAAGTTCTCTAGTAGGTTGAAATTCCTAGAAGTCTTTCTATTAAATTATATAGTTCACTAAAATTTTTTAAAGTCTTTTAATCAAGTTCTATGGTCCATATTATATTTTCGGAAGTCTTTTAACCAAGTTCTTCGGTTTATATTATATTAGCAAAAGTCTTTCTATCAAGTTCTTCGACCCATATTATACTTTCTGAAAGTCTTACAAGTAAGTTCTTCAACCCACATATTTTCCTTTAACGGGTGATTTTTATTTATGTTTTTTGAGAGACCAAACTTTTAGCCAGATGAATGTCTTGGGTGTAAGTCATAACCAAGTTACTAGGTGAATAATATGGAAACTATAAAAAAAAAACTTATAACCAAGTTACCTAGGAAAGATTATAATACTAAATAATTTTTATGTAAGTTATATGATAAACATATAACTTTATCAGAATACTTGATTGCAAGTTATCTAGCGAAGAAAAATTAAGTGCCAAAATTTTTAAAGTAAAATTCTCTGGTAAACCAGTATAGGAGTGCATAATTCTCCAAATAAAGTTCTTTATGTAAGTTATCTGGTAAACATATAACCCTACAGAAATATTTGATTTCAAGTTATCTAACAAAGGAAAACTAAGTACCATAATTCTTTAAGTAAAGTTCTCTGGTACACTAGTATAGGAGTGCATAATTATTTAATTTCAAAAAGATTAATTTATTATCTAACTATTAAAAGAAAAGTACTTGAAAATTCAATTTCTAATCCTTGATCGAAAGTTCAAACTTTTCTAATTCCGTGATTCTCTCACTCGCTTTCTCTTTCAAATCAATGCTTTACATTGCGATTCTACTTTATTTTCACACTCTCCATGCTCGATTCTTTCTATTTTCTTCAAATTTCTTTGCGATTTTTCACTTCTTTTAATCCATTTGAATCCGCTATTGCTTTCTTTACTTTGAGATGACTGTGTATACAATTTAATTCTTCGTAAAATTAACCGCAACTTTGTAACTATTTTAGTTTAGTCTTGATTATTGTTCATAATTTTTTTTTCATTTCGTTCTTAAGGAGGTGGCCGGAGAGTGACGCCGACGAGTTTTATGGCAGTTTCTGATGGTGAATCATTTCGCTCCTAATATTCATCTGTGATTTGGAAACCATAATCTTATGGATTTGTTAGTAAAGAATACACTATAACTAAAGTTGAAAGCACACTAGTGGGTAAAGGGAAGGTTGGTGGTTCAGGCGCTTATGTTGATATGGCTTCTACTAAGAAATTAGTGGTAGTGTTGTTTCAAGTAAGTATTATTCATGCATTCATAAATTGACAGGAACCACTAGTGGAATTCCTTTCAATTCTATCTTTAGCATAGCTAGCATCACATAATCCAACCAGTTTATAATTTGAGGACTTTTTATAAAGCAGTCCAAGATTTAATGTTCCTTTCAGATACCTAAAGATTCTCTTAATAGCAGTTAAGTGAGTCTCCCTAGAATCTGCTTGGAACATTGCACATAAACATACACTGAATAAGATATCATACCTATCAGTGAGATAGAGCAATGAACCTATCATACCTCGATATTTTGTTGGATTCACTTTGGAACTGCATTCTTCAGTACAAAGGTTACATGTAGGATGAATAGGAGTGAACATGACTTTGCAATCATCAAGATTGAATTTTTTTAAGAGCTCTTTTGTATACTTAGGCTGGTGAATGTAAATACCTTTAGACTTCTGACTGTTCTGAATACCAAGAAAGTATTGTAATTCACCCATCATGCTCATCTCAAATTTAGCCTGCATAACCTTGGAAAACTCTTGACAAAGAGATGCATTAGTGGAACCAAAAATTATGTCTTCAACATAAATTTGAACAATCAAGATTTCTTCTTTCAAAGTTTTTCTAAAAAGTGTAGTGTCGGCGTTTCCTTTAACAAAACCATTTTAAAACAAAAAATTACTCAACCTTACATACCAAGCTCTTGGAGCTTGTTTAAGACCATAGAGTGATTTTTTAAGCTTGTATACATGATCTTAATGATTTGAATCAATAAATCCTGGAGGTTGTTTGACATACACTTCTTTAGTAATAACTCCATTCAGAAAAACACTTTTCACGTCCATTTGATAAAGAATTATGTCATGGTTGATGGCATAAGAGAGAAGTAGTATATTCTTTCTTGATGATTATCATGGTTTATGGCTTCTAACCTTGAAATAGGAGAAAACGTTTTAAAGAAGTCTATTCCCTTTTGCTGTTTGTACACTTGAGCCACAAGTCTAGCTTTATTCCTGACAACTTCACCAAGTTCATTAAGTTTGTTTCTGAAGACCCACTTGGTCCCAATGATGTTTTTCTCTCGTGGTCTTGGAACAAGACCCCACACATTATTTCTTTGAAACTAATTTAGTTCATCTTGCATAACCATGATCCAACCATTACCAGTTAAGGCATCATCAACAGAAGAAGGCTCAATTAGTGAAATAAGTCCGATCATTGAGTGATCATTTCTTAAAGAAGACCTGGTTCTCAATGGATCGTCTTTATTACTAATGATTTGCCCTTCAGGATGAGATGCTTTATACTTAAATGATCTCTTAGGTTAAACAAAGGCTTCTGTGCCAATGTGAATAATCACTTAATCAGTAGAAGAAGGACCTATTGGTGTAACTTCAGTTTTTGTAGCTTCTGGTATATCTTGAGATATAGTGACAAATATTGGATCATTATTCACTACATATTTTTATCTAGGGACACAGACCATAGATTGTTCTTCATGATTCTGAAATCCTGTAGAGAAACCATTTTGAACCAAAGACTCTAACATGTTATGGTTAGGTAAATTATCATCAAATTTAACGTGCATAGACTCTTCAACCATTCTAGTTTTAGAGATATACACTCTGTATGATTTTGAGCATTCAGAGTATTCTAAAAAGACACCCTTCTGAGCTTTAGAATCAAATTTCTTTAGGTAGACCTTGTTATTCAGGATGTAACAGGTACATCCGAATTAATGAAAATAAGAGATACTAGGTCTTCTACCTTTGAATAACTCATACGATGTTTTATCCAGAATTGGTCTGATATAAATTATGTTTTGAATATAACAAGCAATGGTAACAACTTCTGCCTATAAGTACTTAGGGAGTTTATTCTCATGAATCATTATCCTTGCCTTTTCTTGCAGAGATATGTTCTTTCTCTCAACAACTCCATTTTGTTGTGGAGTACTGGGAGAAGAGAATTCGTGGATAATACCATATTTTTCACAAAAGGATTCAAATGGTTCACTTTCAAACTCATCTTCATGGTCACTTCTAACCTTTAAAATTTTCAATTCCTTCTGAGATTGTACTTGATTGTAGAAGGTGCTAAACACTTCGTATGTTTCATATTTAGATTTGAGAAAATTCACCCAAGTCCATCTGCTAAAATCATCAACTAT